GATGAGTGTCTGCTATGTGCCGCGTGTCAGTGCCCACTATTTTTTAAATTGTAATTTATTTTCATAAATTATTTACCCTTGTATCGCCATTGTAATACTGAGCATCATAGACAGATGACTTATTGAGTTATTGAGCAGGTAACTTATCTCTTTAGTTCAAAATACTTCTGTTAAAAAGGAAACATGCTTGAGGAACTGAACCTGAGACATTAGACCCTCATCTTCCCTTGAACTTTATTTATATGATGAATCCTATATTGACTTCAAGTCAATGCCATAGTGGAGTACATTTTGGGAGATATTGAAGAGTAATTAGTCAATTTTGAATGTGAGAAAGGAATTAATATTTGTAGCCAGAGAACAGACAATCATAGATAGTTTCCAAAAATGGCCAGTACTGACTCTTTCCCTCTGTGCCCACATATGCTGCTTCTCGTATGACTGGGCGGGCTTTAATTTCTTTCCCTTGAGTCTGAGTTCTTCCTAGTGATGTGCTTGACCAATAGAACATGATAAAAACAATATTTTCACAAATCTGAAATCAGATCATAAGAATCCTTGTTGCTTTGGCTTTAAATACTTATTTGGAATGGTTCTTCTCAGAACCCAGTTGCCATATTATGATAAGTCAAAGTCATGTGTAGGCATTTCAGCTGAGCTTCCAATAAATAGTCAGCAGCAACTTCCAGCCACATGAATGAGTCACCTTGGACTTTCATCCAAATTGAGTATTCAGATGATTCCGATATAGCCACAATGTGACTGCAATCACATGAGAGATCCCAAGTGAGGATAGCCAGTTAAACACTGTCAAAATACTGAATCAAATGTGGTAATTTTTTAAGCTACTAAAATTTGAGGCATTTTTATTTGAAATAAGCGATACCTGGAATACCCGTTCAAAGGGCCAACCATCTTTCTTTTGATCTTTTCTTCCTTCCTGTCGCAAACAAAGGCATGATGGCTGAGGTATAAGTCATCTTGAGACCAGGAAGAAAATACCAAAACATTTTTAGAGATCTTTACCCTTAATCCCCTAAACTATAAAAGGAGTGCTGGCAACCACAAACTCCCGGGATTCAAAATATTAGACAAAAGAATCTCTTATTTGGGTTTTTGGTTCAGGGGTAAAATAAATACACAAAACGCCATACAGTCTTGTATTTTGCTAAACAGAGGTTGCTGGTTCAGCATTCAAGATTTATGGGCAAATAAAAATAATCAGTTATGTAATTACAAAACCACCAGAGTATATAAAGTAAAAATCAAACTAGCTGTTCAATGGAAACTCAAACATTTTTGAGACTGAATTGAAGTAAACATTTCTCAATAGGTTCTCATGAAAAAAAGAGGAAGTGTAGTGTACAACTTTCTCATTACTAACAAGTTAAATATAACCCTATCTTTCACAGCTACAAATTTTATAACATTTCTTTTCAGCAATGGCATAATGCCAGATAGTTAAAAAGCAATTGTACAAGATAAAAACAATGAAGTAGAGTTGTTTAGCTATTGGCAGTCTGAATTAGCCCAAGGATAAAATTCAGAACATGGAGGAATTAGTGGCCAGTGATTTCTGCAGCTAGTCTTTAGAAAAACTTTTCACTAGTGAGATTTGGATAAAGGAATCTAATATAATCCTACAGTGCAAATATTGCATATAATTAAAGATGGATTCAAATGCTGAGATGGAAATAAAGTTAGCATCTTCTAATGAGAATAGAAGAGCGTAATTAGGATATGTGCCTAGATGGAAAATTGCAATTCAATCTGGAAATTGGCTCAGACAGTGCCCTGTGAAAGTCTTTTCTCATAGACGTTTCTGTTAATTTCACTACAAAAATGCAAACTGAGAAGCTAATGATTTAGCCTGTAAAGTGTATGTCCAATAGTTTTAACTTGGAAAAATAATTTGGATATTTCTAAATTCCCTCTTTGATTGTATGTCTGTATGAACAAGGTGTTGGATGGGGTATGGAAAGTGATGATGAAGGCAACAGGAGATTCCTTGACGTCTGGCTTGCAAATTTAAATAATCATTGATATCACCCATTGGCATTGGAAACAAAGAGTAAGGCCTAGTTTGGGTGAAGATGATGAGAAGTTTGAGGAATTTCTGGACCATTCATGTGGGGTAGAGGTGTAAACAGGATGTGTGTATGTGTGTGTGTGTGTGTGTGTGTGTGTGTGTGTGTGTGTGTGTATGCACGCACACACATACATACACAGGCTATATACAGGATGTATGTATAGGAGTTTGAATACATAGGTTTCAAATGTAAGAGAAAATTTAAGAAAATTCACATCTAGTAAGTAATCTGCCGAGCAAAATAGCGTTAGTGTTCCCTTCAACTTGACTAAATTTTAGATAGGCTTCTCTCTAACTTGAGGCCATCTCTTAACCAGCCAGATGTGAGTTTGGGGAGGGTGTCACCCAACATTTCTTCTTTTTTGCCCTCCTGCCTTGTAACTCATGTTATTGGCACAGACGGGCAAAATATGTTGAAGATTATGGATTTAAAATGTTCAACTTCTGATGTAAGGAATGAATAGTGTGAAAGAAAATAAGATCTTAGTAAATCAAGCAGAAATCTGTAATGAGCATATTTACTTGACTCTTGTAAGTCACAGAATATAAAGCTGTTTATAAAAAACATTATTGAAAGTGATGATGCCAGAGGGATATTTAGGAAAACAAGTACTCCAACTGCACATGCTTTTGGAATGGACTATTTCATTGTACTCATCCCTTCATTTGTTTTTCTTAAAAGTTCTTTTTTATCTACTAACATGACAGAAACAAACAATATTTCCTTTAATGCTTTACTTAATAGAAGTGGCTAGAGAATTTATTTTTTTTTAAAGTAAAAATGGTCAAAATGTACACAGTAAATGCAAATGAAGCAATTGAAACTAAAGTGCCATTTTAAAAAGAGAGAGAGAGGACAGGTGATAAAGGGTAATTAACTATATTCTCAGTAAAGCAGCTTGACCCCGAAATCAGCTAGAAGCTGACAAGGTTGACCATTCAGGTATGGATTTGCTTTCATGGCAGTGTCACCTACCTAATAATTAATAGAAACTGGGGAATCTACTTTTTTTTCAGCCTCACGTAGTCAGAAGTATAGAACATCTTAAACTACTCCAAAACTTTTCTCCCATTTATTCACCTCCTGAGTTATTGACCCAATTATACTAGATCCATTGTCTCCAACTCCTATGATAGGCTACTACCAATAAAACAACTAAAAGAAGACACAAAATGATAAGAGTGAATAGCAACATGTTCTCAAAAATCTAAGAAATCACGATATTTTGAAATGTACATATAGATTTTAGATAAAAATCCTATTTCATCGGCATGTTTGCTTTATTTCTAATGAAGCTAAAATTCAGCACAACAGTTATGTAGGTGATTTCATAAATCTAGCACTTTAATCAAAGTGTGGCTTATTATGATAAGTCCTGCAGTTCAGGAGTGACTATATAAAAATAATAAAATAGGGCATTTTTAACAGACATGACAGAATTTCCATACCCAGTTGAAGGCTATCCTATTTCAAAGTAGGCTTCTACAGAAATTGTATATTTTTAATAAAGTTGTGCCAATACTCAAAATATTTTTGCTAACATCCCCTTTAAAAGCAACTTGGAGACAATTTATGAAAAGGATTATTACTTTAAATTGCCATAATTATTAGAATTCTAATTCTTTCCTAGATTTGATTCTTACTTTAAATTCACTTTAATGCAAAAGCTAGCTTATAAATGATAGATAGCAGCTATAAAATGAATTATCACAATGTCCAAGATATGATAGTGTAGGATTTTCCCATATCACATAATGTAAGGTATATGGCTAAATTTAATTCAAATGTGTTCTGTGTTAATACAATTTTAAAATATGAAAATTCCATATAAGAAATTTGGAGTCCTGGCTTCTCTTAAAATTAAACACTAAGAGTTTAGACCAGGCAGATTTTTTTCTCATAGTAACTATTAGTGGCAGCTAAAGAGAGACTGATACCTTAAGAAAGCATGTCTTCCACTTTAGTCCCTGCTCACATATTTTATACACACACACACACACACACACACACACACACACACACCGTGGTGTCATGGTGACTTGATTCACTGTGGAATGTAAATTGGCATTTTGGATGGCCAAATACTCCAATTTACTTCTTTGCTAGAGGATTATCTATCTTTGCCCTGTTGAATTCTGAATCAGTCTTATAGTTTGTGTTACCCAATAAAATGTAGGTGAAATTGAAATATATCTAACTTGAGGCAGAAACTTATGAACTACCATGCAGTTCATTGTGTCTGAATGTTTACTTATGAGACAATGTTTGAGGCCGAGGTTTCTCCATCATCTTTGGTCCTAGAAAAAATAATGAAGAGTAGAATCATCGTTCATAACAAACATGTAGCATGAGAGAGAAATAGATCCTTGTTGCAACCCATTGTGGTTTGGGAGCCATCTGTCAACTTCCTATGACCTATCCTATCCTTACTGACTCACACATTTAAATTACCTCCCTGGTACCAGTAAGCAACTGAGTTTGTGACACATGATTTTCCTAAAAGTTCTCCTTTAATTTTTAGAATTTGAAAAATTGAAGCTCAATATCTGCATAGAGGTGAAATCATTATCTGCATAGAGGTCTGTCGACTCCAAATCGTGAAATCAATATCTGCATAGAGGTCTGTCGACTCCAAAGTATACACATTTACTTTAATTCATCACTATCCTGTACCATGACATGACTGGAGTCTTTGAACTATGATATGATTGCCATTTCTCTCTCACTGTACTGTAAATAAAATGACTTTGAAATTCAGATTTCTAAAATATCTATTCAAAGATATCTTACTTTTACATTGAAGTTCCTAAAATATAATCTAATTGACAGATTTTTCTATAGATCATATATATAATATTAAAATACAATTCTATAGTCTTTAGGTTTATTTTTTAAACAAATTATACCATGTTAACAGAATTTTAAATCATATTTATTGTTTTGCAAACAATTTCTCAGTCAATTATTGATATTTAAAAAAATTTCAACAGAAGGTAATAAATTTGGCTTCTTTTCCCCACAAAAATGGGAAATACATTTCAGTAAAGAAAAATTTTTATTATTCTTATATGCCAGTTTGTTGATTTAAAATATAATAAAAACAAAAAATAATTAACATTAACTGATTAGTACATAAAACAATTTACAATTATACTATAAGCAAGGAACAAAAACTGATCAGAAACCACTCTGCTTTATAGTAATTTTCAAACAGATAAACTATTATAGTACAGTTTATAGCCAACAAATTTGAGCCCATTAATAGAGCACTTCTATAAATACAGATATAACAAAATGATACAGTATTTATTGCAACAACAAATTAAAAGTTGTCATAATGTATGAAACTTAAATACCCCCCCATTGACATAGTGGCTTCTTATTCCTTAAACATAGAAACTCCACTCTTCACTGTAGAAAGATGAAGTCCTCTCATCAAAAGGCACATTCTTATCTGCAAGAAAAGAAAATACCATAAATATCCTTTCTAGAAAAATTTAAACACATTTACAAATATGCCGAAGAATATGAAGGGTAGGAAAGAGCATAATCAAAGTATTTAATAAAGGAATTATATTAAAGAATTCCAATAAAACACATTTATTTTGTTTAGATTAATTATTTCAGATGTTACCATTTAAAGTATACTTCAAACTTTTCAAAGGTTTTTTATATATGACTTCTATGAGTAAAGACTATATAATATTCGTAATAAACTTATTCCCTTATATAGTCTTCATAAATGACTCCAATTGACCTAAGTGTTCAACAGAGTTGACCCTTGAATAACACATTTTTGAAATTCGTGAACCCACTTATATGCAGATTTTTTTCAGTAAAAATATTGTAAATGTTTTGGAGACTTGAGACCATTTGAAAAAACTCACAAATAAATTGCATAACCTAGAAATATATAAAAAATTGCTCAAAAGTATGTCATGATTGCATAAAATATATGTAATAGTACACTCATCTATTTTATCATTTATTAGCATAAAATATACACAAATTTATTATAAAATTATAAAATGTATCAAAACTTATGCACACAAATACAGACTGTGATGGTGCCATTTACAATCAAGAGAAACGTAAGCCAACATAAAGAGGCAATATTAAATCCTAACTGCATAAAATTAACTGTAGTATATAACATCCTACTATAGTAATTTCATAGTAACCACCTGTCATTGCTATGAGCTCAAGTGTTGCGAGTGTTTGCTTAAAACACTGTGTGACACTAATCAACTCCACATGAGCAATTTGTCCCTTCCAGTAAACTGTGTATTGTAGTACAAGTGATAGCTCACAACTCTCACAAATTTTTCACCCTGTTTAGTACAATAATGTAAACCTTGAATAACACCACGGCAACTGTAAGAGGTGACACCAGAGATGTGGGAAGTGCTCCCAAGAAGCAGAGAAAAGTCATGGCATTACAAAAAAGCAAGTTAAATCACTTGATATGTACTGTAGATTGCAGTCTGTAAAATGGGTGCCTGTCATTTTAAAATAAATAAATCCAATAGAAGGATCATTGCAAAAAAAGAAAAAAAAAAGTTGTGAAGCTGTTGCTGCAGCTATGGTAGCAGGCATGAAATCTTTGTGTACTTTTTGTGAAATAACTTATCTCATATTGTGAAAGCAACTTTCATGTGGTTGTATGATTGCTATAAGAAAGACTTACATATAGATTCTTAATATAATTTGAAAAAAAGCAAAGTTATTATAAGACAACTTAAAGCAAAAGGATTTAAAGCTGGAGAATTTAATGCATCAAAGGATGATTCGATAATTTTAGAAAGAGGTTTGACTTTAAAAAATCAAGTTAAGAGAAACAGCTTTTGCAGACCAAGAGGCAGCAGAGTTCCCAGATGTCATTAGGAGAATCATTAAGGAGAAAGGATATCTGCCTAAACAGGTTCTTAATGCAGATGAAAGTGCCTTATTCTGGGAAAAAAAAATCCATAAAGAATATTTATAGTAAGAAAAAGAAACAAGCATCAAAATTTAAGGTAGAAAGAACAGGCTAACTCTATTGTTAATGCAGTCAGGTTTATGAACAAGAATAATCTACAAAGCTGCTAACTGCCCAGCCTTGAAGAGAAAATATAAACAACAGGTACCAGTCTTTTGGTTGTACAACAAGAAGGCCTGGGCAATGAGAACTCTTTTTCTGGATTGGTACCATTGGTGCTTTGTCCCTGAAGTCAGGATGTACCTTGTCAGTAAGTGACTGCCTTTTAAAGTTTTTTTGTTTTTTGTTTTTTTTTTTAATATATTGGACAATGCCGCTGGCTACCCAGAATCCCATGAATTATCAATAAAAGTGCTGAAGTGGTCTGCTTGCCCCAAAACACAATGTCTCCAATTCAGTTATCTGATCAGGAGGTCATAAGAATCTTCAAAGCTCATTACATCCAGTCATTTACGGGAAGGATGTCACTGTTATGGAAGAAAACCTCACCAGGAAGAACATCATGAAAGTCTGTGAAAGTCTAAGAGAAATACACCTTTGAAGATGCCATCATTGTTATAGAAAAAGCCTTGAAAACCATCAAGCTCAAAATAATAAATTCTTGCTAAAGAAAACTGTGTCCAGATATTGTGCATGAATTCATAGGATTTAAGACAGAGCCAATAAAGGACATAATGAAAGAGATTGTGGATATAGTAAAAAAGGTGGGAGATGATGAATTTTAAAGATATGGACCTTGAAGAAACTCAAGTGCTAATAGACATTGCACTAGAGATTGAATTAACAGAAAATGACTTGATGAGTGCTTCTGAACCAGTGCCACACAATAAGGAAGATTATATAAAAGATTCACTGCCAGAAAAAAAAGACATTAGACAGTCTGGCAGAAAGATTCTGATTAGTCAAGGTTGCTTTTAGAACGTGAATCCTTCTACGATACGGGCACTAAAATTAAAGCAAATGGTAGAATAAGAATCGAAACCAACAGAAACATTTTTTTTTTGAGTTGGAGTCTCACTCTGTCGCCCAGACTGGAGTGCAGTGGCCGCTCCCGGCCACCGCAGCCTTGACCTGCTGGGCTCCGGTGATCCTTCCGTCTCAGCCTTCCAAGTAGCCGGAATTACAGGCATGCGCTACCACACCGGGCTGATTTTTTGATTTATTGTAGAGATGAGGTCTCACTGCCCAGGCGGGTCTCGAACCCGCGGGCTCAGGCAATCCACTCACCTCAGCCTCCCAAAGGCGCGGGATTACAGGCTGAGCCACCGAGCCCAGCTCCAACAGAAACATTTTTTAGACAAATGAAAAAGCAAAAAAGTCAGATGTACTTCCATAAAGTTACTCTAAATCTGCCTGCCTCTCCTGACTCCTCCTCTACCTCTGCGACCCAAGACACAGCAAGACCCATCTCTCTTCTTCCTATTCCTCCTCAGCCTTATTCAACCTGAAGACAAGAATAAAGACTTTTATAAGACCTACTTCCACTTAGTGAATAGTAAATATATTTTATTTTCTCTAACTTTTTTGTAAGAATACAGTATATAATACATATAACATACAAAATTGGTGTTTTTTGTTTATGATTTGGTAAGTCTTTCAGTTAACAGCAGGTTATTAGTAGATACGTTTTTTGGGAATCAAAAATTCATATGTGGATTTCCAACTGTGTGGGGCCAGTGTCCCTAACTTCCAGGTTGTTCATGGTTCAACTGTACAGTTGTTTCTATAGTTTATATAAATACAATTATTTAATTATCCTGTCTCCAAACCTTCAGAAATAAGGATTACTTAAAACTGCAGGTTTGAAATTATACTATAAAAACAAATGCTTCGAATATGTATAATATAGTAACAAAAATAATCTAAATAGAAGACAAGGTTTTCAATAAATGCTACAGTGAGAGCAGTTTGCCCAGTTTTTCCTCTTAATGACTAGTTTATGGTAGTATGAATTTATATTTTCAACATTCTCATTTTTATAGACCTTAATTACAATTCTACAACTTGCTTTACTATTACTTAATCTAAATACTGGCTTCAAATAATCTTTTGCTATTAAGAGTCACCACAATCAAAAGCATTTAGTCAAGCAAACAATAGCCAAAGGTGTGCATATTTTACAAACTTAATAAATCTTCTCATATAATCATCAATAACATTTAGAACTTCATTGGAAAAATGTCTGAGAGTGATTCATCTTTATTCTATCTGAATCTTTAGTCAGCAATCTATATTTCTCTAAACGGTTAGTATAAGCTAGTGAGGTTCTAATATATTTTTATATTGAGAATAAATTTAAGTCTTTCAAAAAATGGAGGTTATTAAAAACAACAACAATAAAACACTTAAACTTTATTTTACACAACCCTTTTTTAATGCTTGAAACCCATGGTCATTTTGATAATGAATCTGTAAATTGTGAATAAACATCAATTTGTAAAATCAGAGCTTCTGTTTCATATATTAGAAAAAGAACACAAACTGACTAGAACCTAATCCAAACTCCATCACTAGTCTTTTGAATGTGACAACTTATGAGAACCTAAGGATCCTCCAGCAAATGGCACCTAGCACATGAAGCAGCTCTTAACATATGGCTTCAGAATGCTGTTTTGAGATTCATAATTTACCTCAAAATGTATGCATCTGAGCATAACTGTCTATTATGATCTATCATATTACATTGTGTCCAACATTTTTCTGAAGCATTTTATATTTATAAGACTGTATGACCAGTTCTCACACTTACAGTATTGTATTCCTTTAGTGGGAATTTCCTCAGAATCCCATATAAGATGTTTTCATCCTGTCAGCACATAATATTTGCTATATGCAACCACCATTTTTCAATCCCTCCCTAGCTCGACTAAGCCACAAGAACCAAACCCATCATCATCCAGCCTTAAACCTAGTCTTCCTCAGTATTCTCTTAACTCACATAATGATAATGTTATCTATTTAATTATCACTTCAGTGGGAGCAGTGAGGTTATCTCTTACTATTTTTCTTGTCCTGAGTATTGCTGAGTACTATTATCTAGTCAAAGTTTTTCAATTCCTTATTCTCTGCCCTGGCTTTGACACCTCTCATCTGAAAATTGAAACAGCCTCAAAATATTGAACTCTTAGTTTTTTTTTTATAAACTCGAATTCATCTTTCACAAGGTCACCAGAATCCTCTCCTACAACATTAATATGACAATATCACTTCACTCAAAAGCACTTGATAATCTATGGGCATTTTCACAACTGATAAAATCCAAATCCTCAGTATATTTTTTTTTAACGGATCTTCCTGATTTGAGTATTCTACAAAGGCTCACAACATGCACACATTCTTGTAGAAGACCATATCATGACTCATGCTTTCAACTCTGCTTGACATGCAACTTTTTCTCCTTTCATAAGCTCTTATTTGATTATCTTTCGTCATTTTAAAAATAGCTACAACTCAAATATCACTTCCTCAGTGAAATC